TAGTGCACTTTCATTGAAACTTAAATACATTTTAGTTTCTCAACGGGCCAAAATAATAGGAACAGAAACAGACTGCTGTAATGTCAGCTCACACTGACTCTTTGTGTTCACTACATTTTTTTTTTTGATATTTTTTTATTACTTTTGCAACAACATACAAAGGTAGTTTCCAATAATATGCTGTTGTAATAGAAACCCTTTTCCCCCACCCTCACCTCCCACTCTGCTCTCTTCCGAACAAAGAAAAAAGAACAAGCTCACATGAAATATATATACAATTGTACGTGGCAATTTATACATAATTCAAGAGAAAGAAAAAAAAAAGAAGAAAATATAATCAATAAGAATAAACAATAAAAATAGCATGCACATGCTAAACAATTTCCTCCTACTCCACTCTCCTACATAAGTTGTTCTATATTTGCTACTTTTAAGAATTTTTTAAATGGCTTCCAAATTTCATCAAAATATATTAACTTATTTTTCAGAAAGTACGTAATCCTTTCCATTTCCATACACTGTGTCAAGGAGTTTATCTAAGCGCCAATAGCAAGAGGAACTGATGTTTTCCAATTTATTGCAATCATACGTTTTGCCTGTAATGTACAGTAATCCATAAACTTAATTTAATAGGTTGTTAATTTAATATTTTTAGGATACACTTGTAGTAGCATCATTTCTACATCTAAAGTTTTTATCTAAAATCTGGTTTATTTTGTTCATCACCTCCTGCCAAAAGGCACAAACAATTCTACATTCCCATATACAATGAAAAAATGTTCCACGGGCTTCTCCACATTTAAAACATGTATCTGGTATTCTATTATTATATTTATTCAGTTTCACCAGTGTTACATATGTTTGCATGATCCAATTGTATTGTAGTAATTTTAAGTTACTATTAATCGATTGTTTTTGTGCTTTTAAGCAAATTAACTTCCATGTCTCCTCAGAAATATTGATATTTAGGTCCTTTCTCCAACCTTCCAACTTAGAAACTGATGTTTCTAAAGAGGCAGAAACAATCCAATTATAAAATGTTGAAATTAAACCTTTATTACCACCTTTTTTCACCATAAACTCCTCTAGCTTACTTTACTGGGGAAAATTAAGGGATTTATTTTGCATAGATGAAATAAAGCTTCTAATTTGTAAATACTTAAAAAAGTGTTTTTGGGGGATTTGAAATTTTGAGACTAAATCCTCAAATGATTCCATCTCTACAAATAAGGCATTTCCCCAAATGGGGCTAAACTGAGAGAGATTATCTTTGTGTTCACTACTTGCAGATCAGCTGTGGCCAGCATGCTGGGTAATTACAAGGACTCCCATCAGGCACAGGGAGGCACGTCCCCCTAACTACTCATGCTGATTAACACAACACACACACGTTACATGCACTTCTCTCCACGACCACTAGATGTCTCCACACTCTGTGCTGACTCCAATGATCAGAGCTGCTGAGCCTGTTTGCAGACAGAGGAGGAGCTCCTGGTGATCCGTGTGGCACTAAAAAGCTCTGATAACGTCCATCCAGCAGCTGATAACAGGGACATTTGGTGCCATGTCAGAGCTGCACAGCCAATCATCAGTTTGGCTCTTTAGTTTGAAGAGTTCAAAGCAGCAGCAGAGAATCTAAAGTGTGTCACACAGCACCAAGTTTCCTTTGGTCACATATGAAATGTGAGTCCGAGCTTCAGCTACACAACAACACACACAGCAGCTGATTGTAACATGAGCTCATCTGAAAGCCACCAAGAAGAATCCAGAGATTTGAAAGTTGCTGCTTTGGATTGTTAGTTTGATCTGAATCAGAATCCAGTGTTTGATGGAAATCTGCTCCTGCTGCACTTCAACACATTAAAGAGAGAGAGATGAAAGAAAAGCTGATGATGAGAGCAGAGAGAGGAAGGTGTACTTACCGTGCAGGAGGATCACAAACACCACAAACATCTTCATGTTCCTGTCAAACTCAGAGACTCTTTAAAAGCCCTTCAGGACATCAGCTCACAGCAGCTTCACTTTCCTCTGCTGATCATCTACTGACACTCTCACACTGCTTCACTGTCACAGCTCAGAGTTCAGCTTCACACTTTGTTAAAGCACATCTGTGGAATGAAGTCCGGCCGGCCACAGATCACTTCTGAGGAAAGAGGAGGACGTCGGCTTTCCTCCTAGTTTCACGCCCGAGCGCTCCGGTTGGAGGCGGCTGCTGCGGCCTCACCCTGACACGCACAAAGCTCCGCCTTCAGTCCTGACGCTGAAACATCCACTGTAGCTACAATGATGCAGATGTGACCCTCAGCAGCTGGATTTCCTCTCCATAGATGTGTTTCCATGCAGATCATGGACATAAAGCAGCTCCAGGATGAAGAGTGTGAAAGAACTTCTTCCACTACAGTATTCATTACAGCACTGTGGCACTCCACAAACCCTCACACTGTCTCAATCCCTGTTTCCAGTTTGACTGAGAGAAGGCCTGAAGCTCAGCCAATCACAGGACAGG